TTGACGTTCTTCGTGTCCCAGTGTTGTGAGTGGAATGTAGGTAAGTTGTAGAGTAAAGATGATAATAGTTCAAGAGGAATTAAATCAATATATATCATAAAAGCAAAACATGTGAATTATTCAGGTAGGGTTTTGTTTTATCTTTCAAATCAATATATTCCTAATATAATAAATGTACATCAATTAGTTGTTGTTTTATTTTCACTTTCCGGTGTGGTTCACCCTTGTCAGTGATGCAGGACGGAGGGCCTGACAAGGACAGCTGTCTTGTCGTTCGGATGGGACGAAAAACCGAGGTCCCGTGTACACATTGGCGTGCACGTAAAAGAAAAGATCCCTTGACAGTTGGAATTCGATATAAGAGTACTCCGTAGTGCCGCTGTCCGGGCAAAATTTCCTATGCCCGTGTCTTCATTAGCCCAGTTCTGAGCAGAACAGTAGGACGTTAAACCCCATTTCATTTCAGAGAGAGAGAGAGAGAGAGAGAGAGAGAGAGACATAAATCCACACTGTGTAAAAGAACAATCTATTCAACTCAGTTTAATCCGCCACTTGAAAACTTTTATATTAAGACTAGAAATTGTATGATCATTCAAAATGGCGGATAGTATTATATCTGCTGTATTGCGGAGGGTGGGTGACTGTCAAATTTGATTTAACTGACAGGGAAGGGAGAGGCGCGGGGGTTAGAGAAGGGAGGGTCTAGCGTCCACTCGACATCGGAATTAAGTGTGTGTGTTTGAGGGTGGGGGGGCGGTGGCTAAGTGAGTAAGACGCTGGCTCGCTAGCCTGGAGGTCGCGGGTTTAATCCCGGTGTTGGCCGAAAAAGTTCATCGGGATTTCTAGGGTGGCTTCTCTTTGTCATTGATGCAGGATGTAGGGCATGTTAAGGACTGCTGTCTAGTTGTTCGGATGGGACGAAAACCCGGGGTCCCGTGTAAACATTGGCGTGTACCTTTTAAAATTCAATGTAAGAGTAGGCCGTAGCGCCGCTATCCGGGCAAAATTTCCCTCCATGTTGTATACCAGTCGAAGCGGAACAGTAGGACGGTAAACTCCATTCCATTTCATTTGATTTCCTGGGAAATCATAGAAAACCACGCCGGAAAATTTCAAAGAAACTAACCATAACCATGAAACTCCTGGTCGATATTATAAAAGATCAAAGGTCAAGCAGCATTCATTTTTCATATTGTTCTTTTCTATCCTTCAAATCAATTTATTTTGATTATAATAGATGTTCATCTGTTATGCAAGGCGTCATTTATAACTTTACATTCTTGTCTGGTCTCTGAAGACATGAAGGAGACACGGGTCGGAGCTTTCATTTTAGGTTTAATTGCTATAATCTTGTCCCTTTCATGCTTTTGTGTGAAAAAAACCCAATAAATAGTAAATTATTTCATACAAATTCGATTTGAGAATAGCTTTTACCGATCAATATTCTTTGGTTCCAGTTATATGATTTTGTATAAGAGACACGTAGCGGAGTTTTAAAACTGTTGTTAAAGTGTACTATTCAAGTAGGGGATATTTGATTTTTAAGTGTTATTAAAGTCACCTAATGAAACTGACGAAGAAACAAATGACAAAATGAAATGAAGTTCACATTCATCGATTTATTCCAAATGATCGTTAGACTAAGTAAGGCACAGACTGACCATTATAAGGGTAAAATGATACCCGGGGTCAAACAGCAAAGTTACCACAGCATCACAACCAAGTCAGTAACGGGTAAATCCTCCTCTGTTTGCCAAACAAGCATTGATCCGACGTGGCATACTCCTAATGAGACGTCTAAGGTCATTTTGGTCCAGATTGTCCCATTCCTGTTGCAACGCAGCAGCAAGTTCTTGGACATTGGCAGGACGTTGTTGACGTTGACGTAACCTCTGTCCAAGCATGTCCCAGACATGTTCGATGGGGGAGAGGTCGGGACTCAGTGCTGGCCAAGGTAATGTGGTGATGTTCTGTTGTTGGAGGTAACCTGTAACGATCCTGGCCCTGTGACATCTTGCGTTGTCATCCTGGAAGATGAAACGGCGGCCATGACGTCGTGCGAACGGCACAACATGGACTGCCAAGATGTTGTCCCGGTAGTACTGGCCTGTAACACGCCCTGCAACAACATGTAAAGCCGTTCTTCCAGCAACAGTGATGCCTCCCCACACCATAACAGAACCACCCCCAAATCGATCATGTCTGATGACGTTAACGTCTTGGAAGCGCTCGTTTCGACGACGCCACACCCTCCTACGTCTGTCCAAAATATCAACAGTGAACCATGACTCATCTGAAAACATCACATTGCGCCAGCGTCGATTATCCCAGTGTTGACGATCCCTACACCAACGACGTCTTGCCTGAATGTGATGATCTCTCAAACAAGGGATCACGCGAGGACGTCGGGCGCGAAGGTGATCCCTATGCAGTCGATTCCGAATCGTCTGGCCACTCACTCTCACACCAGTGTCTGTTTGAAGACGAGCGCTGATCTGATTTGCTGTGATGACACGATTTCTCAAGGCCAAGGTACGGATAAATCGATCCTGGGCTTGAGTTGTCGCCCTTGGTCGACCTGAGCGTGGTCTGTCCTGTACAGATTGTGTATCACGGTATCTGGACCATAGCCTGCTTATGACAGACTGAGAAACATTCATCGTCCGCGCCACAACCGCCTGTGTTGTGCCGATCTGTAGCATGCCAAGGGCACGTAACCTTTCATTTTGGGTAAGCCGACGCATATCAAAATTTGTTTTCTGGTCACTAAAACAATTAAACTGATGTTTCCACCCTGGAATTCAATGCCACAATGACTGTAACATTCAAAGTCAGAGTCGTGCAAATCTCGGGTTGGACCCCCATGATGATCCCAAGCATCACCTGCATTCCATGCGGTAGCTATTGGTGCGTTTCGGCGTCACATGTAACTGGAAATGTTTCTTCTGTTAGGTTCTATAGTGACTTTTTTCGTAGTCATTTGCATATTTTAGTATTATGCCCCCAAAATCAAATATCCCCTACTTTTTTTGAATAGTATATTTCATTATATAATTCTAGTTAAAGTAGAAATTGACCAATGTCAGAATTGATATCTCACTAATCTTTCAAGTCTTTTAGCTGTTTAGGTTTATTTTTAATATAACGATATACATGTATATTATGTAATTATAGTTAACACGCGTGCTTTCTATGTCCATATCATCTTCTGTATTTAAACATATGTTTCTTGTGTGCAGTTTAACATCAAATATCAATATATAATTATTTTAATCCTAAGCTTGTATGTATGTTCCATATTCTTAGTGTGACGTTTCCTCTCTGTGTGCGTATATGTGTGCTTTATTTTACCTTGACAACTGTTTTTCTATGGGTGTGTTTAGTGCTGTTTTCATTTGGGGTGGGGCTGTCTCCTAATTACAAGATAATATGAATATTTTAAAGGTCGCTTCCAATCTTAATGAGACAATGGAGAGAGAGAGAGAGAGAGAAAGAGGGAGAGAGAGAGAGAGAGAGGTGGTTAACGTCCAACCGATACAAACTAGGTCATTTCGTGACTAGCATATGGTTTAATTTTATTTCAATAATTCGCTTGCGCGAAGGGGTCTTTAGCGGTGGGAGGAAACCGGAGGACCCGGAGAAAACCCGCAAGGTTAGACAGGTGACGACATTAAAGGGGTATTACTAAAGAGCTAAATCTGCAAGTCTTGCTTTCGGGCTTACAGTTATATAAACTATTCATTAGACATTTATTAACTTGCCAAGACCATAATCAACTCTCGATGCAACTGGATGCTCTAGATTTAAATTCGATTTGCGTTGAATGATTTAATTTAAAAATGGATAATCGAGACTTTGTTTTTGATTATTATTATTATCGTAACAACGGTAGCAATGATAATCGTGACTAAACTATAACACAACAAAGCAGGCCCGTAACTAAGGCGGGCGCAGGTGGGGAGGGGCAAAAAATTTTGACCCCCCCCCCCCCGCCAACCTGTGAAAAAATTGTCGACCATAAAGCAATAGATATACATTATCCGTCAATTTTACAGCACCCCTGAGAACACTTCCCACCCCCTCGTTGCTCTGAGCTAGTTATAACAACAGTTCTATGGATAACAATCACTATTATATATATAGGCCCTACACGACGTTTCGACAAGTTTTCACTTTTCGTTATCAAGCAAACAAATTACAAATGATGAAAACATTGTGACCGTGCTATATATAGTGGTACCCCTGTCAACTATTATGTGGAGAACTTGAAATGAACTGATCCGCAGGCTTTCCTATTGACCTGAACCAGCGATGGATTTTGGGCTTGGCTTCACCCATTTCAGCCTGTATTCTTGAATTTTCTATGTTGGTTCATTGTTCCCATGGATAGTTTTGAAGGACTGAATACCACCCAGAGAGTATATTAGGTAACGCATGACCAAACACTTAATTTAAGGGCGTTGAGATGTTTCTACAAGATCGGTGCCAAAGCTCTTGACTGTGGATCAGAAACGTATATAGATTCCTAAAGGCTCGTGATATTCTGTGCCGTTTTGAAACAGTGTTAATAATGTTAATTCTCGTCTCTTAGACCGGATGTAACTATTCCCCAAAATATCGTTGGGTATAACGCTTTCTGACACAGACGGAGCAACATGTGGCAAACTCTTGCCCAAAAGCATGTATGAGGTTCACCATGAAATACTTGAGATACACAAACTGGAAGTAGGGACAAGTAAACATGCAATTTTCGACCATACATTTCAACCTAACCTTCCTCTCAACTCTTGTATCCTTCCGCCTCAAAGTCATGAATATTCACCAAAACCTGGCAGAAAATGTATTTTCAAACCCTTTTCTTCCATTCTACACCAAAAAGTCAATTAAATCGCCATGCAAAAAGGGGAGAAAAGGGGAAAGGGAGAGAAAGACTAGAAATAACTTTGACACGTGTTTCGTGGGTGACGGCGTAGAAATATTTGGTGGTCTGTATCCTTTTAGTTTCGTTAGACAGCAGTCAATTTTATTCAAGGAAGTATGTATCGTTGTTGCTTAAACTGATTAAAAGGAATTTCAATCACATAATATACATCACGAAGGTGTGTGTTTCAGGTAAGAGTATTCCGCCATATATATTGTATACTTATATACTTGTTTATTACTTAATAAATCAGGAACATAGTACTTTAAAAATACAATAACAACCAATATTACTTATGTAAAATTTCCTTCCACAAATCCACGACCAAAATAGATATCATGTCATCGATTAATATATAAAATAGATGTCATGTCATCGATTAACATATAAAATAGATATCATGTCATCGATTAATATATAAAATAGATACACCCCACCTAACTCTGTAACTCTGGTAAACATTTTTACATTGAATGAATTATATTTCTTTTTATGTCATAGTGACACTGAATTTGACATTTGAAATGATATGTTTGTATACTATTGTATGTTATTGATTTATATTAATTCAACAACTATTGACCTCGGTTCTGTCGAGTGAACTTTAAACCTCATGTCTCTACCGACTATCTCTGATACGAGTACCATTATTATTTTAAAATCCGCCTATTGCCCGTACTGTCATAGTTTGGGTCGACACTGACCTAGTTTGTGTCGAGTAGACGTTACGCTCTGTGAATATCATTATTGTCCTCTAACATTAAATAACTTTAGTTATAGCCTGTGTACCGACATCTGTGTATATCAAACTGTCTATTATTATGATATTATGATAAATTGTCGTATATATATTAAACCTGGTTGACATTGCACGTTAACTTTATAGGACAATATTAAATGTTTCAATGAAAGTTCCACAATCAGTGTTACCGTGATCATAAATAATCGTTGATCACTATGTTTCAGAACACAGAACAGTTTGGTTCCACCTAATGATTACACTGCACCAAGACGCAGAGTATGCTAACCAATTAATGAACCATTGTGTAATCTCTTAGAAAATAATAATGTAAATTAATGAAATGAAATGGAGTTTAAGGCCTACTGTTCTGCTCCGAACTGGGCTAATGAAGACGGGCATACGCCTACAGTGTGCTAGGGGGGACATTTTGCCCGGACAGCGGCATTACGACCTACTCTTATATTGAATTCCAACTGTGTGTAAAAAGCCCATAGAGCATACTTTAAGTGTGGAATCGACGCTATACAAATGTTCATATTATTACTATTATTAAGGGATGTTTTTCGTGCACACCAGTGTGTACACGGTACCTAGGCGTTTCGTTCCATCCGAACTATTAGAATTCTGTCTTTGTCAGGCCCTACGTCCTGCAGGACTAACAAGGGGAAACCAAGCCGGAAAATTCAGATGAACTTTCTGGACCAACATCCGGATGAAACCCGCGACCTCCAGACTAGCGAGCCCGCGTCTTAGTCACTTAGCCGCCGTGGCTCCTACACCCATTAATAAACCACTGTGTTATCTTAGATAATAATAATACACATTTGTTGAGCGCTGAATCCATCCAAAAGCATGCTCAAAGAGCAATGAGAAAATAGTTATATACACCTTGAGAGGAAAGTCTAATTCCCGAAATAAGTAGGTGATTATACATGTACTCAACTTCAAGTTTAAAGTTATAACATTCTTAACACTATTGTTCATCCAAATTTATATTTAGTCTAGATGGTTCACAAAACTGATTACAGTTCAGACTGGCATTGACAGCGACATAGCATATACTAAAATTAGCAGAAACATGTCCATATTGAACTGAAATTTTCTATCCAAAAACTACTTCTAAAAATCTTCCAGCTTTTTCACATAGTAATCACATAGTTCTTATTTAAACTATTCATAATTTTCAGATATCACAGTAGAAGAAATCAGGAGAAATATCACTTTCAACTCAGAGCAAAATAACCCAGTTGCAGTCACAAGGGGCGTATAACTCTGTAAGTATTGATTTTCTAGCTTGGACATTAAACAATCATTGATTTATTAACTATTATCACTCCTGTTCTGTTCTTTATTCCTTGAGCTAACTGCTGACCAGATACAATATAGTACAATATACAAAACACACATACATGCGCAAATGTGAAATTATTTACAATATATAGAGGATATTTGTCGTTTTAGAGTGAATAACATATTTTATTTCATCGAGAAGCAAGAAAACTTATTCGTGAAAATATAAACGTTTTCTTGCTTAGAGATGAAATAAAATATGTTATTCACGACAAAACGACAAATGTTCTATTTATTTTATGATTTGACAATCATTTTAGGTAAAAACAACTAGCCAGTGGAATAACACTTTTATTTCACTGATAAAACGCGGTATTCCACTGCTGATCATAAAATAAAAATTTATATACACTTGAATTAATTCTATAATATGGTTTAATATATTTACAACGAATATCTTTATATATTATTTTACTTATTATTACAAAATGGTACTCATTTTCAACATTATCATTATTACAAAATTTACAAAATCTTTTATTTCTAGCATCTATAAATAAGTTATGGGCAGATAAACATATTTTTGTTAATTGGATTAGCATATTTATAGAGACTGGGTTTGGTCAAATAATATTATAAGTTATAAATAGGAGTGAAATGCTGATAAAAGAGACATTTTGGCTTTTGATGAATTACAAATATGTTCTATGAATACTTGTTTACAAATATCTATAATTCTAAACCTATTTGAAACAATCCCTTCCATACATTTGTGATCCATTGACATTTTTATACGTCCACATATAATGTGGACGTATATTGCCATCGCCCTTGACTGTGTGGGTGGGTGGTAGGGGGCCGAATGGTTAGCACGTGCGTGTTGTATCATAAGGTCTGTCATTGAGTCAACTGGCGTGGTTTCGAATCCCCGGTTGTACGTGACAAGGAGTAGGGTCGCCTGTCCAACCTCGTGGGTTTTCTTCGGGTTTTGTACCCTTAGGAACACCCTTATCGTTTTGGATGCATGGCCAAGCCCAAGGGGCAGAGCCACGCCCATTATCTTTTTGTCTGTCGGTGTGTCGCCGACAGACCACAATTCTTAATCGATCGTCTTTAAAAATGTTCATATGAATTCCTTATACCCTAAGGATGATCCCTATTGTTTGTTTTTTTGGTGATTGCCCAACCCCCAGGGGCAGGGCCATACCCATTTTGTCTTTATGGCGCAAGTCCGACCCTCAGTGGCAGAGCCACGCACTTTTCTTGTATTTATTTGTCATCTACAGACCCCATTTCTTAACATATCACCTTGACACTTTGCATACTTATTCCTTCTATCCTAAGAAACAACCCTTTTGTTTGTGGCGAATGCCCAACCCCCAGGGCCAGAGCCACGCCCAATGTGTGTGTGTCCTGTGTTTCGCCTACAGGCCGCAATTCTTAACATATCCTTTTGAAACTTTGCATACCTATTCTTTATACCCTAAGGATGTCCCCTATTTTTTTTGGTGATTGCCCAACCCCCAGGGACAGGGCCATACCCATTTTGTCTTTATGTCTCTGTGTGTTGTCTACAGGCCACGGTTCTTAATGGGTCGTCTTTGAATTTGGGATATCAATTCCTTATAGCCTCAGGACGAAAACTGCATGTCCCGCCCCCCAGGGGCAGAGCCACACCAATTTTTGTATTTATCATTTACAGGCCGCAATTGTGAATGGATCATATTGGAACTTGGCATATGTATACCTTATAGTCTAAAGCCATCAACTATTGATTTTGGTGAATGCCCCGACCCCAGGGGCAGAGCCACGCCCAATTTTTACTTTTAGCCCCCCGAAGGCCACCTTTTTAAATGAATTATGTTGGAACTTGGTATATTTATTCCTTATATCCTACGGATAGCAGCTATTGATGTTGGTTCACGCCCCCCCCTCCACTCCCTCGATTCTTAATAGGTCGTCTTTGAATTTGGAATATCAATTCCTTATAGCCTCAGGACGAAAACTGCATGTCCCGCCCCCCAGGGACAGAGCCACGCCCAATTTTTGTATTTATCATTTACAGACCGCAATTGTGAATGGATCATATTGGAACTTGGCATATGTATACCTTATAGTCTAAAGCCGTCAACTATTGATTTTGGTGAATGCCCCGACCCCAGGGGCAGGGCCACGCCCAATTTTTACTTTTAGCCCCCCGAAGGCCACCTTTTTAAATGAATTATGTTGGAACTTGATATATTTATTCCTTATATCCTACGGATAGCAACTATTGATGTTGGTTCACGCTCCCCCCCCCTCCACTCCCACCCCATGCTCTTTCGGCGGTGCCACACCCACTTTTTGTTTATATTCTGTATGTAAATGATATACAGGTTGCAATTTTTAACAGATTTGGATCCAATTCGGAATGATCCAGCATAGGGCTGTACCTATATATATATTGGTCCATGTCCAACACTCAGGGGTAGAGTTACCCTTAACCCGATAAACGTATTAAAACAAAGTAATATATTATACTTCAAATTACAATATAATTTGTTTACTGCATTGATCTATGCTGGCTGTAATGTGAATCATCAAAATAAAGGAGGACAAACGCCATTAATGTACTATACAAGACACCAAGCTGATATCAGTATCTTAAAACTGATGATTCAACATTCTGATGTAAATCTGACAGATACTAATGGTGATACAGCGTGTAGTTATTGTGTTCAATATCACTTGTTAAATTCTACTAATATATTTAAACTTTATTCTCACGATGTACTGATGTCACCTAACAACGGAGTGGAACTATTTCACCAGATTCTTACTTGTAAGAGGTTGGAGCTGTTCAATTATTACCTTGGATTAAAGTTGATTGTTAATGGTATTACAACCGAAGGAGAAAATATGCTACATCTGTTAGCTAGAGTAAACTACGATTATTCTCTAAAGAAGTTTAACTGGTTGTTTGATAAAAAGCTAGACATAAACCATCGATGTTCTAAAACTAAAACACCTATTATGATAGCCGCCCTGTTATTGAATAGTAAATATTTAGAACTATTCACACGTCATCCTAGACTAGACATCAATGCACAGAATAACCAGGGTCACACGACTCTTCATCTGTGTATCATTGGATTTACTATGGTTAAAGATGGCTTGAATAACAGACAGAAAAATGACGTTGTTGAGGATTACTGTAAACAGATATATATATCCAATATACATGGAGTGTGTTGATATTTTACTGGCTGTTGGTATAAATTTAAATACTCAAGATGGAGGAGGTAAAACTGCTTTAATGATGGCGGCAATGAAAAACGATAGTTTTCTCATAAGGAAATTACTTAATGCTGGTGAACTGGTTAATTATGGTGGAAAATCAGCTTTACATCATGTTGATATTTATGAGAGTGTGTTTGATTTAAGTTTTAAATCACTTGTATCTGCTGGAGATAATATGCTTCTCAATTTACCACGTATTAATGGTAACACACTGATCCAAGCCACCTTGTGTTTTCCACGTTGTTGGGATCCACGTACGGCTCTTAGTTTTATTAAATATTTAGTCGGTGAAAACTGCTGTCTTCAGTCTCTTGTTACATCTTCAGTTAAAAGTAGTTATAACCAGATTGATATGAGAGAACTTAGCAGTCAAGAGAGAGGTGAACTGAGAAAACTTTTATATCTTGGTGGAGCTCCTGAAAACCAAATTGTAGCAACATTAAATTTTGAGAAGAAAGATGTTCTTCATCCTAAAGATTACAACATAGATAATATTGATGATGGTTGTAATGATTTTGATGATGATGATGATTATGGTGGCTATGATATAGCTAAAGATAGAGACGATGATTATAGTCAATATAACTACCAGTATTTTACCCTCTTTACACATGATGAGCTTACAAACGAGTGTAGGAAAACCCAGGAATATCCCAATGGCAAATACTGGTTTGAATTGTAACGTGAAGATGCACAGATTTTAATTAAGGTGCTCTTGATCATTGCAAAGGCTGGTATAGCGACTTGTAACGTGAACATGTCCAGGTCATAATTATGTTTTTTTGTATATTTTACAAAAATTTGCTTTCTGTTGACGTTATAGTTGTTACTGGAAGGTGATGATTATAGTCAGGTTAATTAACAGTGTTTAACATTCACAGCTACTAGTAAAATTAACTGAAATAAAATGTGAAGAACATTCAAATAACGGCTAAACCGGTCACTTTAGACCATAAAATGTATAATGGACAGGCATAGAATCATGTATCGTACGCAAAGAGTTTAAATATGACGTCATTTTATGTCTGACGTCATTATGCCATATCGCCATTATCATAGAAATATATATATATTTCTATCGTCATTATGGCACATCGTCATTATGGCGTCATAATAACGACGAGTACAAGAAGAGACGATTAAACGGTCATTTCTCTGGTATATTCACTGATATGTAATACTAACGGGACTAGGACATTGTTTAGTGATATGGCTTTAGTTTAGCTAATTTTAATATTCTTCAGAGTTTATGAATGGATATAAAGGAGAATTCAATGATTTCCTTCTATAAAGAATATAACATGTACTATATTAATTGATGATGATGATAATGATGATGATGATGATGATGATGATGATAAATATTATTTATAGCCCGTATTTATGGTGCATTAGCTTAAAATCGATGCTTTATCTAGCGTATTGGCAGCTCAATTAGATCGATATATAGATCACCATCATCATTATTATTTATAGCACTTATGTATTGTCCCTGTATATAAAATATATTCTGTCATGTTTATAAATATATATTGCTCTTGTAATTTTGTATATAAAATATATTCTGAAAACGTTTACACGACTTGTACTATATTTGATCAATTTAATAAACAAGAGATACAGGGATTTTAATCACTTAGTGATAATATGATTTCCTACAGTATATGATCATACCTGTCAAGACAATAAAACCTCAGTGAAAGGC